TTAGTGCCTCTCCCAAACACTTTCCCTATTGCTAGATCATGCACCACACAACCTTTATTAAAAAAAGAAACAAGGCACTTATTATCAACTAACTGGCCACATATATTAAATTCAACGAAAGGTTGGTAATATGATGAACATCTTTCAATGCTAAGAAGTTATCAGATGGACCAGGGACACTGGTATTACCAGAGTGGGTAACATGAAGTGGAGACCCATTAGCAGTAAAATAAGTCATATTTTCATAATGGAATTTTACTGAATATAAATGTGAAAGTTGTTTTGTCAAATGATTTGATGCTCCTGATTCTATGATCCAAGTGTTTGATAAAAGGATTTGAGTTACCTGAAAAAACCCAATGAACATTTAGGCTGAAGCGATGTCTACTGATGTTTATCTTGTTAATCTTCTTCCTACACCAATTTTACAAAAATGTGTCACCATTTCAAAAGCTTTTTAAAAAGCCCCATGATTACTCATATTTACGTGTGTTCGGGTGCATATGTTTTGTGCTTTTACCATCTTCTACCTGTGATAAACTCTCACATAAGTCTAGCAAATGCATGTTTGCAGGTTATCCAACAAATCTAAAAGGATATTGTTGTTTTGATCCTTCTATTAATCGTATTAGAATATCTCGACATGGTACATTTTTTAGCACATACCCTTTTACCAACACTACCCATACCCTAATTCAACCACACATGGACCTAAGTTTTCATTTTTTTTCTAGTTTCGATATTCTTCCTCCTCATTATCATGAAAATAAGGGATTATCACATTCAGCAACTAACTCTGATGAGCAGTCTTTGTCAACTGTTAATCGTACATCACCTCTAGTTGTTGATCCTTGAACCGGTCTTGTTCACCTTCGGCGACTACTTCAAAAGCCTGTTCCACTTGATCGTCTTAACTTATCAGTGGTTAGCCCATAATATACTTGTTCTCCTGCAACCATTACTAATCCCTTGTTCTATGATCTATTTTCTTATTCTCAGGCATCTAACACCCAATATTGTCATATAGCTATGAATGAGGAAAGTGCACTTTTAGAAGCAAATCATACTTGGGATTTGGTCTCATTGCCCCCAGCAAAGCATACCATTGGTAGTAAATGAGTTTATAAAGTCAAGTTACAAGCTGATGATTCTTTTGATCAGCACAAGGCCCAATTAGTTGCTCAAGGTTATGCACAGGAGCATGACGTCGATTATGATGGAAGGTTTGCTCCAATTGATAAGATGACAACAATTCGTACTTTTATTGCACTCACATTTATTCGCGAGTAGCCCATATAGTAGACGGATGTCAAAATTGCATTTCTTAATGGCGAACTTCAAGAGGAAGTTTACATGCGTTAACCATCTGGGTTAGTTTCTCAAGATAAGTCATTGGTTTGTCGACTTCGTAAAGCAATTTACGGTCTCAAACAAACTCCCCATGCGTGGTTTGAGCGTTTTCGGCCTGTCATTCTTGCAACTGGCTTCACTCAAAGTAAACATGATCACTCCATGTTTATTCGTACCATAAAGCATGGAAGTTGTATTATTTTATTATATGTTGATGATATTCTTATCTCTGACTACGATTGCCAGAAGAATTTCAAATGAAGGATCTTGGGGAAGTATCTTATTTTATTGGCCTTGAGATCTCTTGCACTATACGTGGTATTTACATCCATCAACAGAAGTATGTAATTGATATTGTTTTCAATGCCCGCTAAAATGATTCTAAGTTTGGTTACACACCATTAGAACTCAATGTTAAACTTTCTGCACATGTTGAAGATCCTCTTCTCGAGCTTACAATGTATCACAAACTCGTCAGCTCTCTCATCTATCTTCTTGTGACTCGCCCGGATATTGCATATGTTGTCCATGTTGTGAGCCAATTTGTTTTAGATCTCGATTACCACATTTATCAACAGTTCATCGAATTTACGTTATGCTCAAGGTATTTCCATTCGTATTTGACTCCACATCCTCTTTAGTTCTCAGTGCATATACTAATCCAGATTGCGGAGGTGATCTAAATAACTTGCCGTTCTACTACGGGATATTGTGTATTTTTGGGTCATCATTAATATCATGGAAGAGCAATAAACATGACACTGCTTCCAAGTCAAGCACTGAAGCTGAGTATCGTGCTATGTCCTCTGTTGCTAGTGAGATTGTTTGGGTTTGTGCTCTTCTTAATGAGTTTAGTATCTCTATTTCAAATCTCACACCTTTATATGCAGATAACTAAAGCGCAATTAAGATTTCATTTAATCCAATTTTTTATGAGCGAATAAAGTATATTAACGTAGTTTGTCATTATGGTCGTGATCATTATCTTGATGGTATATTATCTCTCCCTTATGTTTCGTCTACTGCGCAAACAACTGATATTTTCACTAAATCTGTTATTCGGAACCGTCATGATTTTCTAGTGGATAAGCTAATGTTGTCCTCGTGTCCGTATCAATTTAAAGGGGGTAATAATGTGTATATAAAAAGAAATGTATAATTTTCAGTTGTCATTTATTGTCATTGTATATTTGCGAATAACAGATTTAGTGAAAATATCAGTTTATTGCGAATAACAGATTTAGTGAAAATATTAGTTTTCGTCAGTTTATTGTCATTTATTGTCATTGTATATTTGTTCGTCAGTTTTTTATCTTCTCTAAATCTAATATACCCGATGTCACCTCATGTCAAAAAAAGGTTTTCTTGAAGGTTAAATTTTGAACCTCTCAAAAAAATGAGTTGCTCAAAAAATGAGTTTTTGTACAACCTAAAAACCTAGGGGGGAGCTTCGAACCGCCACCGCAACAATAAATGTTCGTCGTCGCTATTACGGTATCATATCAAAGGGTTTTTTTGGGATACACTACTTGGTGGTGCATACCTTTAAGGCCCTGACACTTTTTAACACTTAGATACATTTATCTTATAATATCGTGACTTTTTATCTAGAGGTGTTTTTAAGTAATTAGCCAATGGTAAAGTAGAAATTTATAATAGAAACAAAAACATTTATTAACAATAGTGGAGAATAACATCAAATTTATAATAAAAACAAAAGTTTTTATTAACAATAATGGACAATAACACCACTCACAATATGCATTAATTATCTTTTAACTACTAGTATAATGTCACATTTTTCTTATAGTAATATCCATTCTATCCTTCTAAATGACCAAAAAAAAACCCCTACTTGAAAAATTTTGTATTACAATTCGGTGTAGCTTACCTAAACCCCACATCAAAATCACGTACTCCTACAAAGAACATGGACAACCATAGAGATTAAACTGTACAAAAAGACGCAATTGTAGTACCAAAAACCCGTACAATAGCCTAAAAATTTATTCTTACCCCAAATTATAAAATATAAATCTGAAAAAATAGTGAAGACATAGCATATCCATAAATAATTGAAAATCTTGAAAGTGGACAGTCCAAATAATTGTTACATATCAAATTCTGATTGCTACAAATTTAGTTGGGTGTTAGTCTTCGTTACTAATGTATTACAAAATGCACTACTTTACTACTTAAAATCTATCTTCTTCTTTTTTTCCCACATTCATGTATATCAAGGTTAGAGACGAATTAGAGGATTTTTTAGCACCGATACAAATTTTCTCGGCAAGTTTTGAGATGCACCTTATTTTTAAGGTATAAAGTTGACACGGCAAGTTTTGAGATGCACCTTATATTTAAGGTATAAAGTTGACACGACGAATTAGAGGATTTTCTAGCACCGATACAAATTTTCTCGGCAAGTTTTGAGATGCACCTTATTTTTAAGGTTTAAAGTTGACGCCTTAAACCTTTTTTTTCTTTGCCTTATATTAATATTTTTACCAATAAAGGGAATAAACCTCTTCTGTTGAGTAGTGGGAACCTATGGATATGCACCTGAAAGATTGAACGCACAACACTTGTGAACTACAAAACAACTAATTTGGGAACCTACAACGTAAAAGCTACTGTTGCAATTAATTCCTAATTTCTACTGTAATTATTTTCATTTATTCAAAGTTGTTCTCTTTTAATTTCTGCTCATTTATTTTTCGATCATTAAAAAAAACCAAAATCTCACCCAGGCAAAACTTGTGAAAAAATTATAGATACTCTCCGCTTTGTACTTTTTAGTCAATTAACCCCTACCCCCACCCCCTCTAAAAAAATACAAAAATATACTTTCGATACTACACTATTGATCCTTTTTTGTTTGCAAACATCTTACAAGTACAAAAGTTTAAATTTGTTAAGATCAAAATACCATCTTTTTAAACCACCATTATCACTTTCTCTCTCTAAGCCAGTTTGGCATAAAATTGTGCTAGATTGGCACAACTTGCATTAATTTGTGTCGACACAATACATGTTTGTGCCAGCTGGCACATATTGGGTGTCATGTATTGAAAAACATAGGTTAAAATAAAAGGTAATTTTAATTTAAAAAATATTTTTACCAAATAAGTGGCTGCAAAGAAAAATATTATTAAAAAAAAAAATTTATTGAATAAATGGTGTAGTATCAAAAATATTGAGAAAAAATACGTAGATTGTACAATTTGGGGTATCATTTAGTGTCCCTAAAATTTGTTCTCGAGTTTTTTCATACACTCGTTCTCTCTCTAAAAAAAAGTAACTCTCTCTCTCTCTCTCTCTACAAAAGGCCATGAAAATCCCTATTCAACCCAATAAGCGGCTCCAAAAGGACGGCCGCTGCCTCGCGCGCCATCCCGCAAGGGCAAACCCGTCCAATCACAATTTTCACAAGGGCCTTGTCGTTAGTTACATAGGAAAGAATCAGACGAAAGTGGGCCCATGTGCCACGTCATTGCAGTCTAAAAAGTGGGTCCTGCCAATAGAGCGGGCCCACCTGTCAGGTCGATGCCAGGTTGGCAGTGACAGCCTGTATACAACTCACACCCAGCCTAGCTCCTCCAAATTAATTGGCTGACGACCTGCAACTCCCCCTCCTTAACCATGGTTAAGGCCCTGGTTAGGGCCCTCTCAGAGCAAAAAAGATTTTAGAGGGAAAAATAATGGAGCCAGAAATTTACAGATAGGTGGTGGGGAAGAGAGGTTTTTTAGAGAGAGAGTACGTGCGTCACAGCTCACAAAGCTCCCCTTTCTCACGCATCCCTAGGGATTCCGCTTCCCATTTCTTCTGCTGTTCCAGCCTGTAGCTTCCACGGCCCCTTAGGGTTAGGGTTTTTATATCTGGGTGCAGAGCGGGCTTGGACTTCTTGCAGAGGCTCCCTTTGACCGTTTAACGGCGACGCCTGGTAGTTTACGGTGGCAATTGTGGTGTTCTGTGGAGGAAATTGTAGTGTTGCTGGGTGAGAATTGTAGGTTTTTCTGGTTAGGATAATTGAGGGCAGAGTTTCAGTGTTTTCCGTCTTGTTTTGCTCATTTTCCTGCCGGAATCGCTGGGTTTTCCTGCTAGTTGAAGTGATTTCCGCATAGCTTCACAGGTTTTCCAGGTGAAATATAGCGGGTGTTTTCCTGTGAAAATTGAAGTGTTTTCGGTGAGATTGGAGGTGTATCAGGGAAAAGTGCCGCATTTTCCCTCAAAGTCGCAACTTTCCCGGGAACATTAACCTTTTTCCGGCGAGGTTTCCGGTGTACGTTTTCTGGAAACAGCCTATTCTTTCCGCCGTAGTTGCAGCTTTTCAAGCGAAATCATAGCTTTTGCGGTAACAAGCTTAGCTTTTCCGAGGAGTTGCAACTTTTCCGGTGGTCTACTCAACTTCTTTCTCTGAGTCACTGGTTTTCCGGTGGCGACAAAGTTGGATATCCATGGATCCTTGCCCCTTTGTTAGAATCCTAGTGGGGAATCTTGCCCTAAAGATCCCTGTAGCGTCGAAACCATCACGCTCCGGCGTTCACCCTACGACTTCACCATGTTTTTGCGAGATCAAGATGAGAAACTTCCCAATGCAAACAGCCATGGTCCCTCTTGTCTCTTCAGATTCTCCATTCTCGGAGAGCCAAGCCATGGCCGCAAGCTTCCACTTAGACAAAGCAGACCTCCAAAAACTTGCAGGAAAATCCATTCTTGGTGGCCCTAAAGCCTGCCTTAGTGTATCGATTTACACCGGAAGAAGAGGAAGCACCTGTGGTGTTAGCTCTGGTAGGCTTTTGGGGAAAGTTAGGGTTTCATTGAACCTTGAAGGTGCAGAGAGTAAGGGTTGTGTATTTCAAAATGGGTGGATGGGTGTTGGTAAAGGGAAGGGTTCAGCTCAGTTACATTTGAGCGTGAGAGCTGAACCTGATCCGAGGTTCGTGTTCCAGTTTGATGGAGAACCAGAGTGCAGTCCTCAGGTGTTTCAACTACAGGGCAACATAAGGCAACCAGTTTTCACCTGCAAGTTTGGTTGCAGGCCTGTTGGTGAAAGGAATATGAGATCGAGGTTAGTATTCTGGCCTTTGTTGTCGATTTTATGTTCTATTTGGTGGTTCTCCGGCACTATTTGTTGGTTATCCGGTCAAATTTGACCGTTTTGGGCCAAATTATGTGGATTTCGATGGAATGTGGTGGTTTTTTTTTTTGCTACTCCTTGTTGGCGTTTTGGGGGATGCTCCTTTTTCTGGTTTTTGTTGATTTTAGAGGGTAAATTGGGGAGATTGTATGGGTCTTTTGGATAAATGGCACTCGCGTTTTTTGGGAAGTGATAAAAGGGTGTTACCTAGTCTTAAATCGCAGCTTTAAATTTAAATGGTGTCAAAAGATGATGTTTCAAAACTAGAAATCATTGTGATGGCCTGAAAATAATTTATTATCTCTAGTTATAAAATTTAGAGCTTTAAAAATTAATGGGCAAGAAAATGTATTACAAGAGTCATTATTTTTAGGACTAGAGATCTTTTTTTTTTTTGATGCCCATACATCTTGATCTTGAGGTCGAGATAATGGATTTGAGAATTTTTTTAGCATCAAAATATCATCTGGTCAATTTTTTGTGGTGCGCCTTAATTTGATTGTTTAGGGCCTCACCAATATATAAACTTTTTCCTAAAAGAATCACCTTTAGGTTCATTTCCATTATAGCGACCACATTTTAGGGCCATTTTCAGATTATTGAATTTTGTGTTTATATGCGCAATGCTTAGTTAATGTGAATGAGACACTCACACATGGTATCTCTCTCACTTTGAATGTTGTACATCTGTCACTTTGAATGTTGTACATCCTAGTTTGAAGAGTGCGTGCATCAGATAAAGTTCTCTGCAAAAATCGTGACTAACTTAGTTCTCTAAGCTTTCAAATGGAAAGGGAAGAGAAAATGTGGGTGGGTTCTTGTGGGTAAAGGGAGATTTTCTTTCTCACGAGTATGTTGTGTGTGGTTCTAATCAAACAGAGAAAACTGGCCATATCTCCTCTCTGCCCTTCCTAAACCAGTCATTTCTCTCATTAGAAGCAATCTTGATATCTTTGACTTATGAGGGGTTGTGATCATCCTATCCACAGGAACGTGCAATCCGAGACGTGCACATCCCGCAGCTGGCTTGGCTCTCGGGGTGGGAGCGATTGTGAACGCCCTGTCCGCGAGCGGAAGGGCTGGGCCATCACGATCCATGATCTCTCTGGCTCCCCGGTGGCTGCTGCCTCCATGGTTACACCGTTTGTCCCTTCCCCTGGTTCTGACCGTGTTAGTCGCACCAACCCTGGGGCATGGCTCATCCTTCGCCCTGGAGATGGCACCTGGAAGCCGTGGGCTCGCCTTGAGGCCTGGCGGGAGCGTGGGGCCCATGATGCCCTTGGCTACCGCTTCCACCTTCTCTCGGAGTCTTCCTCCACTGCCTCCATGAACTCGTCAATTCTCCTTGCCGAGTCCTCATTAAGCGCATCAAAGGGTGGGAAATTCACAATTGACATTGGCATTGCCTCTACTGGGATGGCACAATCGAATGGGAGGGTGACGCCCGGGACGGTTTCACCGGTGTGTAGCAGTCCCAGGAGCAGTGCGGACTTTGGCCACGCATTGTGGCCAGTAGTGCAGCACGGGTTGAGGGGATTTGTCATGTCATCGAGTGTTGAGGGGGAGGGGCGGTGCAGTAAGCCTTTTGTGCATATAGGCGTGCAACACGTGGCATGCATGGAGGACGCAGCTGCATATGTCGCACTTGCAGCGGCGATTGACTTGAGCATGGACGCCTGCAGGTTGTTTTCACAGAAGCTCAGGAAAGAGCTTTGTCAACAGATAGACGCATCACCATGATAAATGAGGATCTGAGAGGGGTTTCCTCTTCTCTCTACCTTTTTTGTTTTTTTGTTGGATTTGGTTTGGATTGCTGTGTTTTTGCGCCTGTATGTTTTGGGGCTTCTGAGGGGAAAGGCGTTCGATCGAATGAGCGGAGGGAGGTGGTGGTGTTAAGTTAATGGCGGCAGCTTTGGGGCTGGAGACTTGAAAGTGTACAGTGGAAAGGGCATTATACTCTTTTTTCTTTTGTATCATTCAATTTCTGCCATTCTTTCCTTCTTTTTGCAGGTTTTAGTTTCTCTGGTTATTCCGCACTTCTGATGCCTTTGCCTCAGTGCTAATTTCAGGGAGTGGTGTGAGATTATTTAGCTTGTTTACTTTAATTAGCTAAATGTGATGAAAGTGAGGGGAGGAAATCCCAACCTATGTTAAAACAACAGATAAGAAACCATCAGCAAAATTAAAGGTCAAGGAGAGAAGAAACATTACTTCCAAATGATAATCAAAGAAGAGGAAACAAAAGCTTTACAATGCCCGAAATTAAATCAAAGGTACCGAAAATTGAAAGTCAAGGATATCCATGTAGTTTATGGCATCCCTTGTGCTGTATCATTTTACACAAATGTGTATATGGGAAGTTACTCTTCAGTTAGTCAGAAATCAGGTTTTAGCAATCCATATTTGAGAACAACAGTTCATTTCTGATTTCTAAATCCTTGAAATGGGCCAAAGGGGAATTTAGGAATCTGTATTTGAACTGACCCCAAATTTAACTGTTAAGAATACGAGATTGAAAATTTTGAAGATCCAAGCTTGCAGCGTGGTCAAGCCACATTTGCAGCAGCCTTACTAGAGGAAGAGGGGCCCGCAGAGCGGCCTACACCTCAAAAAGTGCAAGAAGTGCTTTGAGAGTTTGATGTCTCTATGCAGGTCCTTTGAATTTGGGACAGCTATTCAAAATCTTCGAATTCGGGACAGCTATTCAAAATCTTCGTAAAGCACTTGATTTTGTTATCTCATGCCTTGGGTTTTCTCGGGCAAAACGGCCTGCAAGATGTCTACATTGTGAAATTGCATCCAGTGTACTGCTTATCTCCAACATAGGTCATGCTTGCGGCTAAATGCACATTAATGAATATTTATTAAATAATTTGAGAAAGGCGGGTTGCTTAGAAAACATGGACAGTAGTGGTGGCCGCTGTGTCTTTTATTTGTAGAAAAATATTATCTTTATGGATTGATAATTCATCACAACGTAAATGTGTGCCCACTTTCGAAGGTATTTTGTCCCCCATAAAATAAGAGGGCTAATGAACCTTTTCAGAGATGAATCTTAAAAAAATGAAAAAATATAATATCTTTGGAAAAAGTTTATATAAGGTTTCAACCGTAAAATGTAGAACCTCAAAAATCCATAGAAAAATATTGTTTTATTGTTGAAAGACTCTGTGATTGATCATCTCGACATCGAGATGTATGACTATGAAAAATAAAAAGATTTTGAGTCTAAAAATAGTGCATCTTACAACATATTATCTACATCGTTTATTTTCAAGATTTTCATAGGGTTATAGATCTATTTGATTTTAACCTTTTTTGAAATTTAAAACTGTATAATTAGATATAAAAATAAATTTTAAGATAATACTAAAAACATTTTATATCAAAATTATATATTATGATAAAATTTGAAGGTGCACCTTAATTGGCTTGTTTAAGGTTTCAACCTTATGGAAACCATACCCAATATCTTTTGGCCATTGAGTTTTGACTTATGGGAGCATGTTCTCTGGGAAGGCCTGCTTGTGGTTCTTATAAATAGAAGATATGCATGAAAGAGTAAGGGTGGCAAGGGCTGGGCGCAGGCTGAGCCAACTTTGGTCTTGGCCCGGCCGTTGTTGCTACAGGGCTAATCCAGGCTTGGTTCTAGCCCTCTTAAGCTTGGGTTGGGCTGAACAAGGTCAGCACTAGCCCTAGCTTGACAATGGGGCTGTGGCCTAGGTCCTACCTTTTTAAGGCCGTACGGAAGAGAGAGAGAGAGGAGACATGCACGTACCATATTAGTTCTATTTGATTTGATGCATCATGTTCCAAGGATGAGAAAGACAGGAAGAGGCAAAATGTAGAATACTGTTTATGTGAGTCCACCGGCTCACATGTAGCAATGCGGGTCCTTTAATAATTTATTTTTGAAATAGAATTTGATCTTAATTTATATATAGAAAAAAAAAGGTGGTTTTTTTTTGTGCCTTCCAGAGTTAAAGGTGTTCACATGGAGGTGCAATCATCTATCTCATCGGCTACATCTACGTGTTTTAGGGTAGGCCCGTGACCCTTTACCCTTTACCCTTTTCTTTCTGTCCAACTCTTGGGATCAACGAGGTGTTGTTCCATTCCATTTGTCATTGGAGGGTCAAGGAACAGTGCTTTTTTACCACTAAAAGTGCAGTTAAAAGTCTTTACTTTAGAGGAAAATTTTGGAAATTTTGAATCTCATGTGGAAAGGGAGGCCCAGTGGCTATGATCTTTATACTTACTTCACTTTTCAGCTATAAAATGTCTTGTACTGCCAGCATAACCATGTGGGTGCACAGAGAGATCCAAGACCATGATTACAACCCTCTATGACAACCCAACCAAGGGTCTTATTCAAATAATGGGATAAAATAGGTTTTTATTTGGAGGGTCACAGGCATTTTGGCTCTTTTTTTGGGTGAGGTCTGTATAAGGTGCCAACCTTGTACTATTGAAGTAAGCTGCGCTTCGAAATTATGTGAAAAGCGGCATAAAAATTTATTGTTACTCTTAATTATGAAAATTTAACTAAAAATGGTGTAAATTGAAAATACTTAATTTTTTTTTTGGAAATAGATAGTCTTGATGAGGTGCTACAACATGTACTACTTACATAACTTGAATTTATTTTTTCATATACATACATCTTAAGGTTAATGTTGAGATGATTAATTTGAGGGTCTTCTAGCATCGGAACAACTTTTTCCGATGGTTTTTGAGGTGTGTCTTGATTTAATAGTATAGGATTGACACATTAGATAAAGGTTTTCCCTTTTTCTTTTCTTTTTTGCCAATGGAGTTAGCAAAGTCTATGTTTTGTAAATATGGGAGTGTACCAAGAACAACCGTTTCTCACACCTAATTGCTAAGATTTAGGCTACAAAATGTGGGCCAAATACTGGGCTACTACAGCTGATCGGGCTGGTACCAATATGTTCCTGAAATTGATTTGGTCCCGGCCGATTCCTAGTCCGCAATTCCCAATCCAAAATCGGTGGGTTTTGAAACACTGGATGCGACTGTAGTTTTTCGGATTCAGATGAAGGCACCATTAGGACTGACTTCAACAAGAATGTGAGGTCTACCAAAACCCTATATTCCTCAAACCTTAAGGGCACGGACTTAGGGTCCCAGCCCTTTCAACAAACCATGAGAGAAGTTACTACCTTGATCAAGAACTAAATTATCAAGTAAGGACCTGGTTTTTATGAGTCCCCCCACTTTTCATCATTGTCATGCGGGCTCTTTTGAACATCCATTATTTGTATCCGTCTTGGACAAATTTGTAGTGATCCATGACCTACATTATGATGATCATGAATTTTAAAAATAAAATAAAATTTTAAAATACTTTGATTAGAATATTTTCCTATCCATCGGATAGGAATCGTGGATGTTTATGTTAAAGATGGATGTTGGTTATTGTGCGGGCTAGTGAGTCCGCTGACTCACAAAACATTTTTTTAAGAAAAAGTTTATGGACGGTTGCAACCTTAAAATGTAGAACTACAGATGAACCTCAAAAATCTATCGGAAAAGGTTGTTTTAATGTTGAAAAACCCTCTGACTGATTATCTTGACATCAAGATTTATGACTATGAAAAATAAATGAATTTTGAGTCTCAGAAATGGTGCATCTTACAATATATTATCTAGATCGTCCATTTTCAATATTTTCGTATGTTTATAGATCTACTTGATTTTAACTATTTATGGAGTTTAAAATTTTATAATAAGATATAATAATAGATTTTGAGATAATCCTAAAAATATTTTACATCAAATTATATGTTATGATAAAATTTGAATGTACGCTTTAATTTGATTGTTTAAGGTTGCAACCTTATGGAAACCACACCCTTTTTTTAATAATACAATTGACTTTCTGTTTATTTCATACCTGATTTGACGGTGATATTTATTATGTTCAAGTGAATAGGAGCTTAGGCCTTTTCATGACAATAATGGCTGTTTAAATAAAACAAAACCATTTATTGAGTTTGTGTGATCTATATTCAATTTCACTATATTTTGAAGGACACTCTTGTTGAAATATTGTTATAATTTATGCCTTACATCAATAAACGTGGTGGATATTGCATTAGGATAACTATTAATATCAACTACACCAAGATAAGGGTCTACTACGCACTATAGAAATAACAAAAGAACGTGTTTGTATACGGCGCTGACGACCCCAATTAATTGGAATAAGGTTTGGGATAATGATGTTTGTATTTTGAAAATTCGAATCGGCTTCGGAAATTGGCTAAGGGCCGAGTTTTAGTAATGGGTAAATTGGTTGGTTCAACCAGTCTAACCGGGCAGCCCCTGGATTTTTCTTTTTTATTATTTTTCAAATATCCAGTCGGACAACCAAAACCGGATCGGGTAGTGCTCGATTCCGGTTTGAGAGGCCAATTCCGAGTTGGACTAGCCAAGTTTGCAAACATATGTTTGTATAAGGTCTACTATGGGGCCGCACCTCCAAATGCAGTTGGAAAATAATGTTTTGGTGCTACAAAACCCTCAAATTAATAATGTTGGCTAGTGTTTTAATACTTGGATTGGTCAATCCTTGTTGGATAGGTGGTTGAATCGGGTATGGATTAGTTTGATTCGAAGATAAAAAAAGTCCAAAATAAATAAAGTAAAATAAAAATAGAAATAAGGGTTTATAGGGTGGAATTTAAGGGGACCTAAAAAAAACATCAGATAATATTATATATATATATATATATAGAGAGAGAGAGAGAGAGAGAGAGAGTGT